ACCGTGACCACCGTCGGGCGATCCAACAAGGACAAGAACAATCCCGAACTGCACAATGTTCTTCACCCCAAACGCCACCCCGACGACGACCCCACGGACCTGGAAAACTTGAAGGCTACCAGCTCTGCAACGTTCTACAATGAAGGGCACCTGGGTAATGTTTCGTTTGCTGGTTGTCGATACCACTGCTGACATATCCCCGCAGCGCACTCTATAATCCACATTCCGGTCCTCCATTTCCCCGTGGTGATGTTGGAGCGCTCCGGCTTCATTGCTTCAGTGACTTGCAACGCTGTGGGGAACACGATGATGGTCACGTTGAAGGACAATAAATCGTGGCAGACCGCTTCCAACGACTGGGTGCATCACCATGCTTTCTTCATTGTCTCCCACGTCGCCGGATGCGGCCTGGGTGCATCGGGGGAGCGCAGTTTTCATCTCGTCTCCTCTATCCGGCTCTTCCCCAGTACCAAACAAATCGCCTGCACCACGGAACATGTGGACCTCGAAATGGCCGCCCATCCCGACCACCTTATACAGTTTCAGGTCAACAAATATAGTATGGCGCCTCTGGAGTCAACTCATCCAGATAGGTCAGTTGCTCTCGGACCCGAAACTGCTCTAGAGCGACGGAAACTATCTGGTGGACACTTCCGTCATGGTGGTCGGGGCAAAGTTAAAGGGGGTCAGGTACGTTCCCGGATAATATCCGTCCCATTGTAGACTCATTCAAGTCACAGGCCATTGAAAAGGTAAAGTTCCCGGCAAATCTGACGCCTCTCAAGACTTGAAGCTTTAAGACTGACCGATGATTCCATCAGCTATATGACGCTGCTAAAAACTTTGTGCAAAAGACTGGAGAGTTTATTGTCGGGGCTTACAGTGAGTTCGTTTTTTATGCATATATATGCTTCGCGCTCATATCACAAGAGCTGATCCAGCTTATTGCGGATCCCAGCGCGACAGCGAATGGAAACTTCTCGTTCGACACTTTGGATACCCTGCCCTGGTCTGAGACACCACTCGGAAAAGGCTACGTACTCGTCGACCCCGTCACAGGGCCAACTAACGGTCTAGGCAAGAAGCTAGCAAACGGAAAAACGGAAGAGACAAAGGATTCTAATGGAAAGAAACTATCCGGCGGCAGTACATATGGATCAATCGACATCAAGGGAAAACTGGGCGTGTACTGCATAAACTGCAGGATCGATGCAAAGATGGAGTACGGCTTGCGTGGCACGATGACATCGAACAAGGACGTCAGGAGCTCGACCGTAACGGGTTCAGGAGCTATAACTGCCACGTTGGGCGTTGGTGTCCAAGCTGAAGGTATCCCATTGGTGCCGGCATTTCGACTTGCATGTTTATTCCTTTCCTCAGCTACTATCACGGGAAAAATCCAGTATCCGTTCGAAGTCCCGATCCCCACACCCATTACGATCTATTTACCGGGGTTCCTGAACTTCGGTCCCTTCTTCACCATTGCCCCGGGAATTTCACTAGCAGGTACACTGAAACTCGACGTCCTCGCCGGCATCACCTGCACCTGGACCAAGACATCCTACGAAATTAATCTTTTCACCCCCGCCGCTGGTTCAGTCGATAAGGCGTCCTGGGAACCCCAGTGCAAGGCGGAACCGTTTTCGATCAACGGAACCGCTTCGCTGACTATATCGCACTATATTCAATTCGCCCTGGACTTCCAACTAAAGATTCTCAATAAAGATTCCCTCACTTTCAAGGGCGGTCTGACGGCCCAGGCGAGCCTCGATCTGATTCTCTCGCTCTCGACAGCAGCAGAGCCGGATTGTTCGCTTGCGGCCGGGGATCTCAAGTACAGCCTGGTACCTATCTTCGCTCTCTCAATTACCGCTAAGTTCAGCGACCTGTACAACCCCAAATTCGACCTTTTCAAGTACAAATTTCCCGAGCTCCTTGGGAACTGTAAGAAGTAAGTCTTGACCCAAATAATATTCTCCTTCAACATCCTGGCTGACGGAATATCTAGACCTACGGCTAAGACGGCCCGCACATTGGGTACAAGAGACTCTTCACCCGATGATTCCTCCGCCGACGACTCCCCCCCTTCGGAGTCCGATTCAGAAGATGTGGTTCCAGCCCCAGGGAATATTGTATCGACCGACCAGCAACTCGCTCTGCTACCCGGCAGCGACGGAAAACTGAGTTTAGGACCTCTCAGTGACTATCCATGGGCAATCTACAATGGCCTCATCCTTTACACCAACGAGGAAGAGGCCAGAGGCGTGTTCGCCGATGACAACCTTGCCGACGGGATGGGAACGGCCCACTTGGCGCCTCTTCCCGACCAGGACACTCCAGACCCTACCGCACTGTAAGCCACCGATGCCGCATGTTCGGAGACAACCCTTGACATTCCTGCGCAGAATTTTCGTTATGCTGGCTGGCGGGTTAGGAGTCGTCAACTCCGATGGCACGAAGTCCTACGTCCCTGTTGACTGCCTGGTCGGCGAGCGTCATGAATTTTGGCTCGCGTCCAACGGCTCAGACTCTGATCTTGCCGCGGTGAAAGAGAAAGCAAGTGCCGACAATTGCACCACCGCCATTCTCAGCATGAAGGTCGCACCAGATGATAATTTCTCACCATTCGAGTACGCCGAGGCGCCTGCAGACGGCGGGGGTGAAGCACCGGCGGATGGAGGAGGCGAGGAGCCTGCAGACGACGGGGGTGACGCAACTGCCGATGGAGGTGGCGAGGCGCCTGCAAACGACGGGGGTGACGCAACTGCCGATGGAGGTGGCGAGGCGCCTGCAAACGACGGGGGTGAAGCACCGGCCGATGAAGGAGGCGAGGTGCCTGCAGACAACGGGGGTGAAGCACCGGCCGATGAAGGAGGCGAGGCGCCTGCAGACGATGGGGGTGAAGCAACGGCCGATGAAGGAGGCGAGGCGCCTGCAGACGATGGGGGTAAAGCACCGGCCGATGGTGGAGGCGAGGCACCTGCAGACGACGGGGGTGACACGCCGGTCGATGGAGGAGGCGAGGCGCCTGCAGACGGAGGTGACGCACCGGCTGATGGAGGAGGCGAGGCGCCTGCAGACGACGGGGGTGACACGCCGGCCGATGGAGAAGGCGAGGCGCCTGCAGATGACGGGGGTGAGGGTACAGAATGATATACGCCTTAGCTAATCGTGTCAAGTGCGATGCTTCTGCTACCTACCTACCATGTTTATCCATTAACGACTCAGAACTAAGTTGGCTCGATTACAGCAAGAGACAGCGTCGGTTTAAAGCGCGCGACGCAGTAGTACAGAGTCAGACAAAATCAAGCCCACAAGTCATCCAAAGAGACAATCAAGCAAGCAAATCATCCAAAAAATCTTGCATATCGTCCTTAGGACCCTTGGGCGGGGGCTGCGAACCGTCAGGCATCGGGAGCGGAGGGGCTTCTGCATACGCTGTTGGGCCTTCGAAATATCCACAGAATGAGAACTGGCTGAGACGAGTACGGAGGAATAAAAGATCTGACCAGGTTTCCGTTCGCGTGCAGGGGTAACAGCGGACTTGCGGAGTTTTTCGGATTTTGCGCGAAAGCGGGTTTTCAAATCTGCCGCATCCAAGTCAGATCGAAGATCCAAGTAAAGGGGTACGAGACGACACGAACCCCATATCGCTTCCGCCGACGCCTTCTCGCGCTCCAGTGCATCGAGCTCGTCATCCCATTCGATTTGCTCCACCTTTCCCTTCCTCGACGAACCACCGACTGTTTTGGCAATCCCGCCCGAAGAGATATGCGCCAGAGTGTGATCGACGTCGCCCTCGTCCACAGGATCAGTTGGAGTTAATGCAGGTTCGTCCGAGATGCGCTGTCGCTCGAGGAACGAGGATAAATCGACTTCAGGTTCCACCTCCGGCTCGCCTGAAGTCCAAGATCATTGGTTATTGCATTCGCCACAGATGAGATAACGCGCCATCCGAGTCCAGCATGGGCTCCGGCTCCGCATATCGGTCGGCGTTGGTCCCTAACTGGCGCCTAGAAAACCTTTGCGCGAGTTCAGCGGCACGCTCGGCCGCTTCCTCCTCGTCTTCGTCACCGCCGCCTCCTTCACTCTCCAAAACAAGCCGTTTGCCGAATTCTGCGGGACGGCCGAGGCCACGGCCTCTGCCTCGCGCACGAAGGTATTTACCAAGTCCCCCGCGTGACTTGCCTCTACCCCGCCCGCGTGCTGGGGATGGTGGCGTGCTGGAGGAAGATTCGGACATGAGTGCTGGGAAGGATAGTGTGACTGTCACTCGTCACGGCGGTGAATTCAGGAGTACTTAATTCTGTTAGAGAAAAAAATGCCATTGGCATCAGCAGCGTAAAAAGATGAAGTACTGGCCCAGGAGTCTGAGGAGAGAACAAAACGAAATATGAGGCTCACGTGTTCCGTCGCGTCGCATTTCCGCGACCAAATACACAACAACAGTACCCGTACGCGTGTTCCTCTCCCGTGGAACACTCTTTACCTCCTGCGGTCTCAAGAGCAATTGGAGGGGAGGGGTTTGGCATCGAGTCAAGAAAAAAAAACATCAAGACCGCTCTATCATCTGGTCCCGAATCGAACGGGAACCTCGTGCATACTTGGATCCTACGAGTAAACGAAGGAGATGTGCCACCAGATATCTCCCACTTTTCTGGGTGGCCAAATTAGGGGGAGCGAGATCGGACCATGAGTTGAAACTTCTGAATTGCTGTGTAGTAAAGCCCTAAATCCGCACCACTAGCAGTACTAGTGCTTCCCTCTCGAAAGCTATCAAGCCGACCCAAGAAACTGTACAAACTAAAGCGTTCGGGGAGGCGTAAAAATGTTAACACGACCTCCTAATTCTTTAAGGAAACACCTGGTATTTTCAACCATTGCAACTCAAGCTGCTCTTCTGTAGTTTTGTCTTTCCCGCTAAGTGCGGGTTCGCTTTAGTTTCTGGTTTACGACACCAAAAACCTTTCCATATCAAATTTATGGAGAAGTTCTGTTTGTCGCGGGTGGTCTAACGGTTACGATGGTCTCCTTTCATTTCAGCTGCACGGGACAGAACGGGGTTCGATTCCTCGCTCGCGGCATTCCTTTTTCCACTCTACACAAAGTTCGCTGAAGGTGAGTCTCCAATATTCCGACAGAAATGAATTCAGTGCTTCTGCCCTCAAGACAGCGTACCGAAGTGAGACGTATTTTTCACCAATATTGCAACGCCAAGCGGTTGGGAACCAGTGGTGATATTGCACAACAGCCCAGTCAAACGAGTTTCTTGTCCCCCCATGATACACCGTTGAAATAAGTACAAAAAAGACAAACCATGCTACTTCTGTTGCATGAACACCGCAGTGTACGCCGGAATAACAATATAGTCGATCGAGTTGATCGTGACAGTCGTCTGTCGTCGAAACACAATGAGGGACCTTTCGCCAAGGAACGCGCGCCACGTACCTGCCACTTAGCAATCCCCGCTTCGCCTCCAAAGTGACGGACAAAGTACGACCCGAACGGCATGTTGGCGAGCGCAAAAGTGATCGGCGTGTCGGGGTTCTTGTTCACAATCACGACGGACAGTTTCCCGTTTTCCGTCGCGGCGTACACACCCTGCGTGTCATAGTTGGGTGATGCGAGGTTGACCTGGGCGCTGTTGGCGCCGAAGTGGACGCCGTTGCTACCGCGCATATTGACGTCAGGCTTGGAAACAAACATCCAGGGAAACGTACCCGCGGAACAGCCAATACGCAAGCCCGATGGGGCCGAGTTCGTCGGGGGTCACCCAGTAGGTCGCACTGTCGAGCTTCTGCTGCCCAAAGATGCCGAGCGTGTCGACCGTGAGGAGTCCGCCTACGACACAAATCGCGTTTACTGTTGTAGTATCTGTCATAAGACTCGATCCCCACCAGTAATGTCCGTGTCCGCCGTGGAGCTCCACTCGCTGACGGAGAGCTTTGTGCCGGGGTAGTTGATGTCGATGAGGGTGCGGAAACGCGGGATGAGAGCGACGGTGTCGGGATTCCATTGGTGGTTCTGCGGGTCGACGCCTATCCACGATTCGTCGACGTAGGAGTAGTCCTGGGAAGGGCGGAATATATTAACATCGGTCTCAGCAAAAGGAGGATGCGCACCCAAAGCGAGCGCGACATGCGCAGCCGAAGAGCTTTCGCGGTGTCGTTGTTGCTACTCGTATCCGCCTGGAAGTAGTAGTGGATGTCGAGATAGTCGAGCAGGCGCTTTCCGGCGGTCTTCTCGGCGGCGGCCATCTGCTGCAAGAACCAGGGCAAGAAATCGATGTTGTTGTGAGCCGCATTGTCAGTGTATCCAATGTCGCTTGTCCAGTCTGCATGGGAAAGATGTCAACTCGTTACATTGCAACCAAATCAACGCGTGGGACTCACAGAACCACCACGAGCAGGTCGACGGCGCCGCTATTTTCACGTCGGGGAGAGCCTCCTTGATAGCGATGGAGTAGTTGACCATCCGTGCCAGCTCTTCATCGTATCCAAATGGTCTGTGCATTCATCCGTAAATTGGTGGGAATGGTATAAAATGTGGACGCGCTGCTACTCACACGGGATGCATATCCTGGTGCGTGCTACTCGCAATCTCTATCTCATTGTCGATGGCGACCAACTGTGGTTTGTTGGCCAGCCCCTTGAGCCAGGCCTGCGCCATGGACGTGTTCCAGGGAGTGTAGACGCTGGTCGGGTTCGGCACTGGCAAGGCGGTGGAGCCGTTGGGGAGTAGTCCGTTACCAGCGTTCGCGAGGAACGGATCGTGCGATGCTTGCACTGTCGTAGAAAAACTCGTCAACGAACAAGAACAAAAGGAATGAGTAATAGGATATTCACGCGGGTATTCGGTAGCCGGATAGGAATAAGACGTTGCGTCTTTCGCGACCCAGTCGAGACTATGGGAAATAGGGGTGTTCAAGTGAAAGGCATATCAAGAAAGAAGACGACGTACGCGGGAACGGTTAGCAATGTCTGCGAGCCCGCGCCTTGAACCCAGCCAACCCAGTCGTCCGCATCTGGCGGGTCTGCAACGCGGTTTTCGAAGTACCAGTCGGCGCCCGCGTTGGTAAACTGCCCTGCCGGGTTGTACGCCGTAACGGCGTTCCCGCCCCACCGCGACATCGTCACACCCAAATCCTGGATGTAGGACGCGCTCGTGGGGAAGTTCACGCCATAAATCAGTGGCGAGATGGGGAAATTGACTTGCTGGACGAAGCTATCGGGCAAGTAATGAGCAAAAATTGGGGGAGAGCGAGTTGAACACGGTAGCACACCTGAGGAATTGGACAGCAGGCAAAATGACTTTGAAAGTGGAATTCCCGCCGTTAGCGACACCGGTGTCAATGAGAAGCGTGCCAGGTGCCAAGTTGCTGGCGAGGGTAAGGTATGTGATGGACTTCGCTGGTGTGTCGGGAGGGCTGTACGTCGTGGTGTTGACAATTTTGACCGACTGAAGAGTATGAGGAGAACTATTGAGAGGAACGCCAAGCAGCTCACCTTCCCGTTGAGCGATACAGCGAAAGTGGAGAAATCAACATCACCCTGAGTGGTGACAGCGAGGGTGTTTGCCGCCAGGGGCTCGGCCGAGAGGAAGAGTGGAGGAATTACGATGGACTCGACCTGTTCGGGAGGTGAATTGGGTTCACGCGTGTCTTTGAAACGCAACGAAGACGAACCACGAAGATGTTGTCAATATGGTAGACGTCACCGTTTCCGCCGGCTTGCCAGGTAATGCGGTCCCAGGTCCCATTTCCCTACAGAAGTCAGCAACGTGTATGATATAAAATAAGAAACGCACCAGTGCGGATCCGCTCCCCGGTAGATTGCGGAAGTCAATCAGGAGAGAGGTAAATGCGTCGGATGTGATAGCATTGCTCAATTCAGAGAGCGGAATATTTGGCGAGGTCGTGCCGTCGACGGAGGATTGGATAGTGATTGTCAGATCCGGTTGCGGGCCCTGAGAGAATTCGAATCAGTCAAGCCAGACAGAAGCAGCAAAGAACGGCGACGTACAGCGATATCGAACCTGAGACCCTGGTAGGTTGGGAAAGTACCCTCAAGCTTTACCGACAATGCGCTGAATGCCGACGAGTTGACGCTAATGCTGCTAGTCCCCTCAAACAAGTCCGTCGCCGCAAAGTTGATGTCGCTGCTCCAGCTCCAATTTTCCCAGCCAGCAGCAAGTGCCGTGTCGCTGTACACCGTGATGTCGTCGGCCAGTGCCCACGCCGTCAGGAGCGCGAGCTGCAGGAGGAGAGAATGCATATCGTCGGCAACGACGTGTGTGAAAGGATCTCGCTCTTTAATGAGCCGACGGCAGAATCGCGGCATATCTTCCGACCAGATCCCGAACTTCATCCAGTACAAGAGGAACGACCTCGGGACTGGTTGACTGGAGTTCGCGCATGACGACTTTGGTTTGGGGCTGGTGACAGATGTAGAGGCAGTCGGAGGACAGGGACCAGTGCGTGGACGCCTGATTTGTAGCTGGAGGCATCAGAAAATCATCAAAGAGTCGGACAAGTCTCGGCCACAAGTGTTATTTGGATGGCGATTATCTCGATGCTTATGAGCGGCTGGAGTGGCGCAATAAACTTGTCCAAGAAACATCTTTGGTGCCACTTGGGGGCCACCTGAGGTATCGGCTGAAAATATTGCCTGGACATTTTATTCCATTTCAGTGAGCTTGGAGCTGGGGGTGTCAGGTCAAAATATCATAGGGATACTTATTGGGTGGCTTCAGAAAAAAAAAAGACCCAAGGGCGAAAATTCGTGTCAGATGATGACGGCGGAAAGCAAGAGGCGGCGACTTTGTTCCTGCTTGGCACTGGCATCTCAGGCTCTCGGGCCGACGAACGTCTTGCCTCTTCCCACCATGCCACTTATCGATCCCTTCAGTTCGATTACAACTGCTCTCACCAAGGGCCGAATTATCCCTGATGTTCTAGGCCAATTTCAACCCACCGCCTTCCTCTCCATCATCCTACCTTCTGGCCCCGCGGCAATGGGTGCAGAAGTCGCGCTCTCCGAGACGGTGGAGCCGCCCAAAATCGAAATTGCGGCGGCACCGAGCGACGAGGACGTCGGCGCCGATGGTCTGATGAAGAACGAAGCTCGTTATACCCTTGCGATGTTCGATCCAGATGCCCCGAGTGCGGCACAGCCAACTAGCAGTCAGTTTCGTCATTGGGTGGTAAGTCATCTTTTTGTCCCCCAATTCGAGGAAGGCAAATGGAGGGAATCGTTAGATCACTGGATTGCAACCCAACGCGGATTTCATCGGTCCGGCGGTGCAAACAACCACAGCGGCCAACACCTATCGACCCCCGGGACCGCCGAAAGGGAGTGGACTTCATCGGTACAGTAGGTGGCGTTTATTCCGCTCGTTTCCTTAATGCTTAGGTCGAATCTTGTAGCCTTCGTCCTGTTCCGGGAGCCGCCCAATTTTTCCTTGCCCGAAGGCGCATCGGAACTTGATGACAGTGTCGAGGCGCGTCGGCGGTGGGATGCTGTAAAGTTCGGAGAACGCAACAGCTTGCAGATCGTCGGGGCTGCGTACTATTTGGTGAGAAGCGAAGATTAGCTTGTTTGTGTTTTTTTATGTTGTACTATTTGATGAATGCGAAGAGCAAATGTGTTGTTTTCAGGCGATTGATTTTAATGCGCCACTTATTCAAGTTATTGGCACCATCGCACGATCCGGCGAATGTGCAGATAGTACCCACACAATCGAGGGTCTAGGTATGGTATGCGTGGTACTGGAATTTCTATCACACTGGAAGCCTGTGCAAGGAGGAAACGGGACCATATATCTAGCACGCGATCCACTGAAAACTTGACACCGTCGATTTCAGCTCCAAAGGTGAAGGACGCGAAAGTCTCGAACATCCGAGGCCAGGTTGTGCTCTTCTCTCCGAGGCTTCTCAATTAGCCACATAGGGTGCTGCTGTACATATACAGACAAAAATTGCCAAAGTTGAAACTTTTTACTTCGTTTTCAAGCATGATCACTTGTCGCCGGAATATTTTGATGTTAGCTGAATTATTTTACACCATATATATATGTCATGCGCTG